TTCCACCATGGGGAATAACTACATCCAGCTGCTCAGCCACTCAGAACCAGACCCAACCAAGTTGACACACAACCTTAGCTGCCACAAGGTGGGAAGAGGGGTGTCACTACCATCAAGAAAGAAGAACCAGGAGTGGTGCACATCCTTGGACCCAAGATCCTTTTGCTGAGATGGCAAGAGATGATGAAAAGTAACGGCAGAGAAACTGGCAGCAGAGGCAGCAAAACCAAGAGACCAGCATGAGACACAGCACTGGGACTCCCAGCCCACGGAGGAAGAAAAGTGAGTGCCTTTTGGCAGCAGCCTTACTGGTGGAGTGGAGTACCTCTCTGGGTACCTATCAGCAGACTTAAGGCTTTGTAACACTTACCTGAGCAGGGCAGATGCCAAGTCCAGAGAGAACTATGCCTGTGGCAAGGTTGAGAAAAGTCTGTTGTAACTGAAGAACTGTATTCTGAGTGTTCCTGATCCTGAATTGACACCTGTTACTTCCCTATTAAACCCCATCATTGTATTGCCTGCAAGTCTGTGTGAGCATTGCAATGAAGTATTGAACTGAGCCAAGAAGTAGAGAGTTCCACGGGAGGAATGGTTGGTGTCAGAATTGCTAGAGAAAGTTGAAGGGTTGCAAGTCTGACCTTTGTCTCATAGGAATCAGCCTTAGACTGTTAATGCTGATGGTAATTCTGTCTCCCCCTTGTGAAGTTAGAGGAGGTGTGATGACAACATCCCTATATCCTTTTTGTGCGTGCACACACACATGTATAGACCCTGTATGGTGTAAACAGTTTGATGTGCAACTATTAGCTGGTCAACAGTACAAACTCACCCAAAGGTACCTCAGAAGATGGGCTTGACGATCTTCCCAGGGAAAGTCATAGCCTTGAAAACCCTGTGGAGCAGCAGTTCCATTCTACACACGTTGGGTCGCTTTGAGTTGGAATTGGCTGTACAGCAAATAACATCATGGACTATTAATCTATTTTTGTTACAAAATCATCTTCTTCTTGTTGTTACATGCTGTCAAGTTGGACCTGACTCATAGCAACCCCTCCTTGGGCTTCCGAGGCAGTATCACTACGGAAGTAGATTGCTCAACCTTCCTTGCGAGGAGTGACACAGAATCTTAGGTTTTGTTATTTTTGTTAGTGTTTCTTACCTCCATGCATACACATCAAAAAGGCATTTCTTTCTTGAAGTGAAACTTCACACAGTTTTACACATTTTACAAAAAAAAAAAAAAAATT